TTCTTCTCCTTCTTCTTTTTCTTCTGGGGACTTGTGTATTTCTCTGCGAAAGTTTTTTTCCTTCCTCTCCCACTACCTTTCTCATTTCTATCAGATTGGTTGATCTGCTGCTCTATCTTCCAACTTCTGAGCTGTCTGAAAATGTCTTCAGTTTCTTTGGCCTTCTCTTCATCTCTTACATTTTGTCCGTTGTGGTCAGGAATCATCTTGCTCCTGCGCGTGATCTTCTCCTCCTGTTCCTTCCCACCTTGCCTGTCCTTGACATTCTTGAAGCAATCAAAGCACGCAACATTGATTGCAGGAAACAGTTCCTCACAAGCGGTGGTTGTCGTTTTCCCGGAAGACTCCAAACGACACGGGATCTCGTCCAGATCACATATCGTCTCCTCGTCATCATCCCCTTCGTCCACACCACAAGTCGTCTCCTCATCGGTATCCCCTTCGTTCACACCACAGGTCGTCTCCTCGTCAGCATCCACTTCGTCCACACCACAGGTCGTCTCCTCGTCAACATCCCCTTCGTCCACACCACAGGTCATCTCCTCGTCAGTATCCCCCTCGGCCACATCACATGTCGTCTCCTCGCTAGTATTCTTCTCGTCTATGAATAGTTTTTCAGTCCTAAACCTGTACATCGCACTCACTTTCTCGTTGAAGGGCGTAGGGCCAGAGATTGGCCCAATGTCCAACACGGTTTGCTCCGTGGAATCCATTCGGTGATCCGCCAAGTGGTCCAAGACCATACTGTCCTTCTCCACGTCATCCTGCCTGCTGCTCAGCATCGTTCCAATGACATCGATTCTGATCTCCAAACCACTTGATTCATCAGTCACTCCATCTTCCAGCTTAGGATCTTTGATAGTTTCAATGACAGCATCTGACTCTAATGGTCCAACTCTTGTATTTAATTTTGAATCTTTTTGAGTAAATTTTCTTATTGAGGACGTAATTTTATTGTCAATATCTGCCAAATAAGTATCCATTTTTTCTGACTGAGTCTGTACTTTTGTTAAAATCTTCTCTAGAAAAAAACTTACCGGGTCCGCTGCTCGTGGTTGCTGTACCAACTGCGTAGTTCCTCCTACCAGTTGTGGCTACTCGCAGGTGTCACGGTCTTCACCTTCTTCTTTAAGGTCCAGACGAAGGCGCCTCTCCAAGTCACCTCCGCCTCCCGAAGCCGTTAGCCTACGTCCTTCCAGAGCTTTCCCCTGCATTGCCGTTGAATCTACTAGTTGATCTTCTAGTTTTGTCATTTCTTATGTCAGTCCTGTCACGGTCGCCAATTGATGTCGTCACTGATACGTGATTCACAATTAACAGTGATATCACGGACGATATTAAATAAGGAAATGACAAAATGCTAGATTAATTTTAGCAGAATAAAACTGAGCTTGTGTTCAATGCAAAACAAAACAACAAACTAAACTTTATTTACCTTTCAAACAATTCAACATATGACTATAAATTTAAATATCAAGACAAAACAGTCTTTTAGAAATAAATAAAACCAGTCCTTCAGCAAAGGTTAATTTAAATGGATATTGAAGTTTTAAAAATAATAGTCAGTTAGGCACAATACGACAGCCTAAAGTAATGTGTTAAACAATTCAAGGCTCGTTTTTTAGTCCTAGGACAAAAAATTCACCATAGAAAAAAAAATTTATTATTAAGTGTTAGAACAGCTTCCAAGTTAAAACCGTACACGTTATTCTGTCATGTTAATATTATGTTTATAATTACAACAGTCACAGAGTCAAGTCGAGAAACTTTTTAGCGATTAAGAAAATAATATGTGTTAACATGTTTTGTTTCTTAAGGTATTCACGCAATATCACGACCCTACAAAAGCGAGGTTAATACTGAAAAACGAAAGGTTTACCATGCAGCAGGAACACACGATTTCATTAAACAAGCAATGTTCCTTAAATGAAAACAACCCCCTGCAGAGGGTAACATTACCCTTAATACCGCTTCCCGTACCTGCATGTATTATCGTATGTAAGCAGTGGGTCGTACAAGTAAACATAATAAGCTATAACGTTTTAACTTAGGGCGATGTAACTGTATCTAGAAAAAAATAGGGAAAGTATATACTGTACATAGTGGGGGATTTAGCAGTTTTCTAAAAAATCTATTCAAGTGAGTCCATAGTATTTGTTTGATTCTCAATATAAACAAACAATTGTGGACCTGGATACACGTTTATTGTGATACCACTATAAAAATATAGGTCTGAATATTTTTTGTTAAGAAATTGTCGAGTCGCCAGTTTGATTCATATAAACATTGTTCCCTACCAGAGCCAATCCAATTGATTCCAAACATAAGATCATAATGGAAGCTAATGAAAAAGAATCGCTTAAGTAAAATATTGTTCATTAAATTATACCGTGAACTGCAAGGTCCAATCGTCTCTTTTTTATAGTTTTGAAAGAAGTCAATATTTTTTTAATACAAATTAAAAATATGATTCGTTGTAAATGTGGTGTGGTATAAATAAATTTATGTTTAACCTTTTAAAACATTGTTTTCAATTAAAAAAGGATAAGCAAAATTGTAAATAGGGACTGAATAGTTTAATGTTGGATGTTAATATTTCTTTTGCGTTGATTTCATTATGGTCTGAAGTGTATAACGATTAAAAAGATTACAGATTAAAATAGTTTTTTTTTTTTTTTTTTTTTTTTTTTTTAAATAAAATCGTTAATGCACTACTGAACCTATTTTTTTAAAGGAGAAGAGTCAAGATCAAAAATATGTTCTTCATATAAACATGTAATTTACTTTATATTCAAATATCCACTATTAAATTAAATGCGAAATGGAATTTTAACAAGGAGTCATGTATATAAATGAACGATTACTCCATTAAGGAAATTACAGCCACTAATATCTGACCCAAATATTATATTTAATTCGTAAACACACGATTCTAGCATCAGTGATTTGAGATAAAATGATTTTGTAACTAGCGGCTAGTTATATTTAGTTACTAGAACGACAAGGTTAATTCCTAACTTTTAATCCCACTTTACACTACTTGACAACAGCCAGCCAAGTTTTGGGTTGCAGCTAACACTGAGACCACCTATATATGTGACGTATACAAACAACTGAATCATTTGGAAATATTTTAACAAGTAGTTTACAAAATACGTTTGAGCACATATAACATATGAGAAATGTAAATAAAAAAGAGTAAGTATTAATACAAAGCTAGTAAATATTGTTAAACATCAATTTCGCTATCTGGGGGATATCGTATTTATTCACTTGCCACTTAAATTATACCTTGGTTTTATCTCCCTCAGTTACTTGATATAAAGTTTTCGATGCCAATTATACAGGGTGAAAAAAAAGTCTGGAAACGGCTTAATATCTTTTTAACTAAATCCGTTAGAAAAGTCAAACCTTTCACATCAACTTACATGTATCATACATTCAAACATATAAGTTGATGTGAAAGGTTTCAATTTTCTACCGAATTTAGTTAAAAAGATATCAAGCCGTTTCCAGACTTTTTTGTCACCCTGTATAACTTTCTATCAAGTTCCGGCTTTATGTACCTCGTGGAAAAACATGGTACTGTACTACTCAATTGAAAATTCGCGTACACAGAAATTATATCATGAATTTAAACCACTGCTATCTAATCTTTTTAGTTCAAAATACTTTCAGTTATATCCTAATCCATCCGAACCATTCCAGCGCTACCTTACTATCTTATTTTTAGTGATGGACAAGACCCGAAACTTCGAGATTTTTTCGAGATTTTTTTTATCTCGAAGCTTCGGGCGGGATTGAAATACTAACGGGATATTTTCGAGTCGAGATTTTTGGGCCTTTTTTATTGTTGTATGTATGTATTTTTATGTATTTCCAGGTACAAAATATTAAAAACTGCAATTGTTTGAAAAATAAATTGTTCTAAAACCATTGTTTCTTTTATTATACACTCCTTTTCCAACCTCAAAATTGCTGTTTAACCTCTATCGTGTAATCTAGTGAGTCTCACTCTGAGTGGTGAAATAGTGAGATTGGTGAGGTAATGGGCGATTCGCGAACGATTAACTCAATTTGAACGAATCACAGCTCAATTTTTTAAAGAGTCGATTCGTACTTTGAGTCAACTCAGTTCAGTAATCACTAATCAGTTGGAAATAAGGCCGCGCTTACTCAGTCTTCGCAGTCTTATATAACCTTCTAGGAAATAGAGAAAAAATATAATAAAGACAACAGCTTAAATGTTTTATACTGGTCCATTATTTGTCTAACTGTACACAAGTACGGTAACTTTCAATATGTCGCAATTCGATTTGAGAATTCAAAAGTAAACTTAACGTTAATAGGCCTATTGTTTTGCTAATATAATATTGATGATGCAATATGTTCACCAACCATAAATGCTAACTGCGTCGTCATTCGTCAATTCATAATTCATACCTATCGGTGGAAAAGAGGTAATCTCACGGTAACTAGTAGAATATATATATATGGAAACGGTACTGGACATAAACAAGATGCGCAGTAAATCATAGCATAGATAAAACATGCAGTAATAATGTCATCTGCAAACCCCGAATGACGTCATGCTAATGTTGTAAACTGCTCAGTGACGTCAGTTGGGCGTGACATCATCCTGAGATGCGCATTACTCTTACCGTATAGTATATTCTAGTTACCGTGGGTAAACTGACTCAAATGATTCAATTTGAATCGGTCCAAAATTCAATTCAATTAAGTGATTCAAATACAATAAAAATCCTCTGTTCCCTAAATTGTGGAATGGAAATGGATTAATGGTGTGGAGTGGACTGACTGAGACTGCCTAGTGCCTGAGTAGTGAGTGGACTATTATTTTGGTAGTGCTGTCTGCTGTCTAACTATTTTGTTATCGTCTGTTTATTAAACTGTTAAATGGCATAGGCCTATGCAATTATTATTGTTTCTTTTAAATTAGGAAGTGTAAACTCTTGTTGAAGTTGTATTTAGTGGGAAAAATGGATGAGGATGTAGATGACCCAGCCCCCGTGTCCAGTGTTAGAATGGAAGTTGAAGATAGGCCCTCAGAAGCTGGCCCATCCACACCTGCAAATGTAGGCCTACCATCAGGAAAAAATAATACGGCAATAATATGGGAGTATTTCACAAAAGTAAACGAAGGTAAGACTACTGAAAAGGTCCATAACTATTTTGCAGTGTGTAATTTGTGCCAAAAAAGTATAAAAACTGCCTATGGAAACACTAGTGGCATGAGACGCCACTTAGAAAATAAGCATTTTCCCAAGTTTGTGTTGCTGAAAAAAAAGGAAGAGGCTTTAGATGCTGAAAAATTCAAAACAAAAATATCAAAAACCACTAAGGCTAAGGCCGTGACCCAATCTAAACTCACCTCCACTTTTAAATGGAGTAAAGATGCCACTAAGGCTAAGACTATCACAAGGGAAATTGGTAAATGGATGGCCTCAAGTCTCCACCCATACAACTTAGTAGACCAAGAAGGGTTCAAGTCCTTGATGAACACTCTTGAACCCCACTACACTATTCCTTCCCCCAAAACATTTTCAAGGACAGTAATTCCGGGATTGTACAAAGAAGTTCACAAAAGTGTTGAAGCAGGATTGGCGCATTGCCGAGCCAACAGTTCTTCCCTGGCCATAACAGTAGACATGTGGTCTTCCGATTCTAATAATTCCTTTATGTCCCTTACCTCTCATTTTATGACTGAAGACTTTCAAATAGAAAATTTCTGTTTAGGGTGTTATGCGTTTATTGGAGACCACAAAGGTTGGTCTATTGCCAATAAAGTAAGCCAGTATTTAGAGGAATGGAAAATAAACACCATGGCAATACCAATCTATGCAGTGACAGACAATGCTACAAATATGAAAAGTGCCATGTCATGTGTCAAACCCAAACTAAATGTTTTGAGTTGTTTTGCCCACTCATTGCAGCTGGCAATAAATGATGCCAAAAAAGAGACACCTGGGGTTGTAGAACTGGTGAAAAAAGTTAAAGGAATAGTGGGACACTATCGACATAGTTGCCAGGCGACTGAGCGTCTTCATGAGGTCCAAGCATCTATGAACAAACCTATTCTTCAGTTGATCCAAGATTCCGAGACGCGATGGAACTCTGAGTACTTGATGTTAGATCGGTTTCTGAAGAATAAAGAACCCATTTCAAGGGATATCATACAAACGGGTAAACTCGACAATCTAACAATTTCTGAGTGGAAAATGGTCGAGGGATACGTCTCTATATTGGAGCCCCTCTTTGAAGCTACTACCCAAGTGTGCTCTGCAATAGTACCAACTTGCTCTATGGTCATACCGATTATTTTTGGTTTATCAGACTCTCTAGATACTTTCATTTCGCAAAGTATAGCTAAAAGCGGAATAGGATTTGCAAGGGAACTTTTAAAAGCTATTAAAATTAGGTTCCCAAACAATCTGAAGGAAGATCCTTACTTGACTGCAATGCTGGTGGACCCGAGATTCAAAACAGTTATTTTGTCTGCCGTTGAGCAAGATTTAGCCTTAAGCAAGCTGAAACTTAAGATTCAAGAAATCTTGAAGAAGAAATCAGAATCTGATCAGGCTGAAGTACCAGGTAAGGTTTTATCATGTTATTTGTTCTTTAAGCAGGTTATAGTGTAGACCACACAATATTATTCTAATAAGAAATATGAACCTACCGTAGGCCTACTTACCGTAAACATTTAGCTTGACACAAGTTTCCTTCTTTAGGAGTTCTTAGTCCAAAATTGGTTAACTTAGGGCTCTTTGACTTTGCTGTAAACAATTTTTGCCTCAACTGTTTTTATTACCGGCGGGAGCCATTAAATCTACAGTCAGTTGGGCTATATGTAACAAATTTAAATACTGTAGGGCCTATTTACTTAAAACATACAAAATGTTTCAACTTAGACCACTTTGATTTATAATAGGCAACAAAAATAGCCTAGGCTACTTAAAGAAAGAATGCTTAGGGGAAAATTAGCTTTTATTTTGTGTGCATTAGGCTTAGGCCTATATAAAAATAAAGTGTACCGGTTAAACAAAAATATGTAAAATACGTACAAAGACCTAATAGGCCTACACTTATTTTGTTAATTATGTTATTGGAGGTACTCACTGTTTAGACATATAGTTAAACTTTAAACTAAATTGCATTAAAAATATATTATAAGGCCTATTGCCTAACCTAAATTTAGGCCTACATTCAAGTTACCAAATTTGGTTAGGCCTGAATTACAATTTCAACTTTAATAACTTTTTTTGTTTCAATTGCATGTTTAGCTTTAGATATGTAACTACAACTACTGTATCTGTCCACACAAAATCAAAATATTTATTTGCAAGATCATTGTTAGACCTACCTACAAGGAATAGGCATTGTCTTCAATAGGCAAACATCATCACAATTAATTAAGTTAACATACCATCTTATACAATTAAACTGACTTTAATTGTACGGTATCAAAGAAAAATTACAACACAGTATTTTTTTAGCGATGTTAGTTTTAAATGTTGAAATAGGCCCTATACACACATACTACTGAAACTTAAGTACCTATTTATAGTAGTAGTAGGTATATTATTGCTTAAATATTTTAAAATTAAAGGTGTCTGATGGAAAAATAAATATGGATTGAGGAACAAGGTAAGTTAAATAATAAGATAAAAGAGGAGGCCACCTTATGGATTTTATTGTAGGCCTATCAAGTCCCATCATGTTCTTTCTAACTTGCAAAATGATCAAAACAATGACAAATATAGAACTGTACCATAACCATTATTGATACAGTATTGAGAAGACAAGTAAAACATTGGTTGATTTGATTCTTGATTCTGTAATGTACTGCCTGTTTACAATTTGTTTTATTTTTAGTTGAGCCTACTAGTGATGAAAGCAAACCAAAATCAGCCTTATGGAAGGCATTTGCTAAGGCAGCAGCTGCAAAGAAACACTCTACTAGTGAAAGCTCGGCAAGACAAGAAGCTAGTATTGAATCGGAGCTTGCTAGATTCTTTAATGGGGAAGTCATAGATCAAAGTGATGATCCTTGCAAATGGTGGCAAGATAATGCCAATTTCTTTCCACTACTTCGCAATGTCGCATTGCAATACCTTGCAATTCCAGCTACTGAGGTTAGTAACTTTTGTTGTACTACTACTTTAAATTGGAATCATTATGACAACCTTCAACATGAGCCATCTATATAACAGAAATTAAGATAAATACTTAAATAGGGATATACATATATAGTTACAATATAATCCAATTTTAATTAATTACTGGTACTTTATTATTTTTTTTACAACGCATGATATCAATATTACAGGTTGCCAGCGAGAGAATGTTTTCGAGTGCTGGCGGAGTGGTGGCAGAGAAGCGGCAAAGGTTGACCTCTTTTCATGTTGAGGAGTTGGTCTTCCTTCACCAGAATAAGAAACTTTTAAAATAAGTTTAGCAACGTACCGTGGAATTGGGTGAATAGAAACACTTTTGACATTAAAGTTCAAGCTTTGTAAAAACTATATATTTAATTTTAAAATTTCAACACTAGCTCATATTTCCGGTCTTGGACTCCTCTACTCAAACCATTTATCAATTTTTTCTTCTTTTTAATCATTAAGCAGAACAAAAATATAAATATGGCTGTTTCTATTCACCCCACACTTTGGTTTTGTTTTGTTTCTATTCAACCTGTTCTTTCTATTCACCCCATTCTACGGTAGTTACTTTGAATTGCATTTTGTTACACTAAAGTTCCTGTTTTATATTACAGTATTTACTTTTAGATTAGATGATGTTTTGTTTTCTCATAAGTCATAATGTACTCTGGCTACCAAAGAGCAATGTTATATCTAAACATTTTAATTTTATTTGACTTTTCATCTTTGTTATTTGTTTATTGTTAAGTTGATAATGGTTCAGTGATGAAAATTTCATTTAATGTTTTTTTGGAGAACTAAGAGTTTTTGTTTTTGTGTTTTCTGTTATTTAATAATAAAAGATGGTTGTGACTATTTCCAATTTAGTAAATTGGATTGTGTAAGCTTTTCTTTCAACCTCCTTAAGCTGTTACTTATTCTAAGAGAATGTAGACTCATATAATCTTCATAAGTTGGTGAGTACAAGGTAGCCTACTTGTATTTAGTTATACTTACCATTTCCTACTGATATTAAATTATGTGATTTTAAGTTTCCTTAGTTTACTTTATGAACTTTGTTAATATCTACCTTAAAACACAGTAGGCTAAAAAAAACTTAAAATATTTCTGAACATATAAAAAGTAGATATTAATTTTTGTATAATTTTCCATTAAATCTCGTCTCGAAAAAAAATCCCATCCCGCGGGAATTAAAAAAATCTCGTCTCGTCTCGTCTCGAAGTGAAAAACCTAGTCTCGTCCATCACTACTTATTTTATTGGTGTTGTTTTATCTATCAAAAAGCGTTGCATAAAACATCGCTCAGAACCCAGAATTAGTTATTATAAACGGCTAACGCGTCTAATTAGTAATACAACTTCCTAAATATATGTAATTTTGAAACAAAATAACTATTTCAACAGTGGCTTATGATCAATTCAATTATTGGTTTATTACATGGATTTCAATATTTATTTATGGAAAGACTCTTATTAATGAGATAACTCATAACATGAGTTATTATATAATTTATTTATTAATTAACATTCAATAAATTTAATTCTAACAAAATTTGATAGAGCCTGAGTAAATTAATACATTTAATTCAATAGACTGATTTTAAGTAAACACGAAATTTGTTCGCGAGCGATAATAATGGAAATAACCTTTCACTGGCCACGTTTAGTTAATTGCTCTCAATATGAAAACAACAGCAAATTTATTATCCAGTCAGGTCAGTTCTTATCGTTACTAATTGCGATTTTGTAAATGAAAGCCCCTAGGGTTTCATAATTCAATCTTCAGTAACTTACTGGTTATTACTAATATCTATTTAATTATCACATTTTGAACACTCGTGATCGTTTCACTATATACAAATCAATTTCCTGACAGCAATTTGAAAAAAAAACAATAACATGTTTGGTAAATCATAAAAATAAAAAAATAAATAACAAAATTTAAAAGTACGTAATACGACGTTTTTTACAGGTTGGTGATGATAGTAGAGGGCCGCCGTTCCAATTATGTTCAAACGAATCAAGGATTGGTGCGAAATATAAAAATCCAACTTATCATGACAATAAGTTTACTGTATTTGGCTATGTAATGGACTAAGCATCTAGATGTTACCTTCCAATATAGTTTAATATAGTTTTTACATGTATTGTGTGAGTTACGGGGCGGGATTTATTATGATGGAGTATGGTAAAAAAATTGAAATTCATTGCTAGGGTAATACTATTATTTATCCTCAGTAGAAGGGAAAGTACTGTATTCCTAAATAAAAAGTTTTAACAACCACGTTTTTATAAAAATGAGTTTTCCACCACTCTGATTACGACGTACGATTTTATCGGGATGATAATTGTCCTGATCCTTAAAATAAAAGATATGCAAATGTTTAATACGCTCCATTTATAAAGGCAGAGGAGGACATTCCTGCGTAGAAAACATTAGTATTTTCATTAGAGACTTTAATTAAAGACGCGGACCTTTGTAGCGTTACTAGGATCCTGCTTGTGTGCATAAGGTTATTGTTTCATTTTCTTCTAACTTTTTCTTACGTTAAAGATTTAACTAGATATATAGAAATAAACAAACAATCATTACCGTAAACAAAACTGATTTTAACTAGCATCACAAAATCGTTACACAAACATATACAGGGTGTTCATTTGAAAACTTTCCATATCTGTTGTGTGCAAAGGTAAGGCTTTTAACACTTGTTTGTTCTCAATTCCCCCTAATTTGGACATGCCAAATCCAATAAAATTATTTTCAATTTTGAAAAATGCCCCAAAAGGGCCCAATTTGGGGGGTAGGGGTGCTTTTTGAGAAATTTTTAAATGTAAACATGGGTTGTGTGATACATCAATTTAAAGCTCTAATCACCCCGATCATTTTGGTGCAAAAAAAGTTTAATTATCTTTAACCGTATTTACAGGGTGGGTCAAAACGTTTTAAAAAAGGACTTTGAAGTTAAGTACCGTATTACCCTAACTACTGAACGGAACAGCGCCAAATTTCTTTCCAAGCTTATTCTTGAGCTACTCTTTAAGATAACTTGTAGTAAGGGCATTTTCCAAGCTATTATCTAATTTTAAAAAAATCTCAAATTTTAAGAATTAAAGAAAGCTGAAAACTAAAAATTCTTAAATAGCAAGGTATAACAAATTTCATACCACGTGAAAGGTCCTTTTTTAACAAACATTTTACGTATTTAAGTTTTCTTTCTATCTCTTACCGTTTAAAAATTGCAGTGGAAAAACATAATTTTCTATGGTAAAATAACTAGTTTTCTAATAAAACACATTGCACTTTTGTACAACAATGTAGTAGGATTCATAACAAATTGATCGACTACTTTTACGTGTGTCAGAATTCATCCTGTTCTTTTCTCATTGGTAACTGAGCCAGTTTCAGAAAACTTCCTAACTAAATCATTTACAGCCATATGACTCAATGTTATACCTGGATATCTATTGTTAAAAACTTTGCAGTTATCCTGGAACACTTTTGTTGTGACCAATAAGTAAAAATAAAGTCTATTTTTTTAAGTTTACACCATATTTGATTAGGTACTACAGGAAATGGTACTTTTGAAATTAGTACTACCATTGACTAGTCAATGGTACTACAGAAAGCGGCCCACGCTTGGGTTTTTCTCATCAACTATAAAACTTGTTTTTCACAAAGTAAAACGTAATGACTTGTTTGCCTATCTGCCTAAAAATAATTATGAATTGTTTCCTTCAGTTATTGCACCACTTAATGTGTCTAGAGACGAATTTTGGCTGTTTTATTAGAAAACTAGTTACAATTTTACCATAGAAAATTATGTTTTTCTACTGCAATTTTTAAACGGTAAGAGATAGAAAGAAAACTTAAATACGTAAAATGTTTGTTAAAAAAGGACCTTTCACGTGGTATGGAATTTGTCATACCTTGCTATTTAAGAATTTTGAGTTTTCAGCTTTCTTTTATTCTTAAAATTTGAGACTTTTTTTAAATTAGAAAATAACATGGAAAATGCCCTTACTACAAGTTATCTTAAAGAGTAGCTCAAGAATAAGCTTGGAAAGAAATTTGGCGCTGTTCCGTTCAGTAGTTAGGGTAATACGGTACTTAACTTCAAAGTCCTTTTTTAAAACGTTTTGACCCACCCTGTAAATACGGTTAAAGATAATTAAACTTTTTTTGCACCAAAATGATCGGGGTGATTAGAGCTTTAAATTGATGTATCACACAACCCATGTTTACATTTAAAAATTTCTCAAAAAGCACCCCTACCCCCCAAATTGGGCCCTTTTGGGGCATTTTTCAAAATTGAAAATAATTTTATTGGATTTGGCATGTCCAAATTAGGGGGAAATGAGAACAAACAAGTGTTAAAAGCCTTACCTTTGCACACAATAGATATGGAAAGTTTTCAAATGAACACCCTGTATACATACAGTGTGTAAAAATAAAAAATGTGTGCCAGACTTAATTTAGTCTGGCACAAATTTTTTTTTTGTTTTTTCTATAGTAGAAAGAAGAAATCAATTTCCGGGACTGATTAATAACAAATGTTAGGCACTTTTTACAAATTTTGAAAATAAAAATTCCCTTAAGGGCAAGAGGGGTGGGGGTTAACCAAAAAATTTTAAATGACAACCCCCATCTTATACCCCTCGATGTGTCCAAAAACTTTTTCGAGCACCCTATCCAAGATGGCGGTTTAAAATGTACGTAGGGTTCAACGGGTAAATTAGGTATGGTACACATTTCTTATCTTTTTTACTCTTTGTAGAAGGAATTAATTTGCGGGACTGAGTAAGAACAAATGTTTGGCACTTTTTCATAATTTTGAAAAAAATTCCCCTTAAGGGTAAGGTGGGGGTGGGGGGTAACAAAACATTTTCAAATGACAACCCCATCTTGTGACCCCTCATTTTAAAGGTATTTAGAAGACAAATATAACGATGTGTCTGAATTTTTTTTGCATCCTGTCCAAGGTGGCGGCTTTAAATGTGCTTGGGGTTAAACGGGTGGGGTCTGGAACACAATGTTATCTTTTTTGCCATTAATAGATAGAACTTATCCACTTGTGGGACTGAGCCAAAATTAGGCACATTTTATTTCTTTGAAAAAAATCCTCTAAGGGTAAGGGGGGGGGGGGCAACTAAAAATTTTCAAATGACAACCCCCATCTTGTGACCCCTCATTTTAAAGGTATTTGGGAGACCAATTTAACAATGTGTCTAAAAATGTTTTTAAGCACCCTGTCCAATATGGCGGCTTAAAATGTGCTTAGGGTTGAACAAGT